GTTATTTCAAACTCTATTTACGCAAACATCATTCTATAATAATTTTATAACCTGCAAAAGATCGTAATTTCCTGATAAGAGAAAATGCTTGCTAAAAATTAAATTTCTTTTCTAATGTTGCTTTTTTTAACTTAATTTTTTTTTATATAATACGGGAATAAAATTATTATTGATCTTATACATAGTATCCTTACTAATCGTCCGTCTGGTTGCTCTTTCTAATTGAATATACTTTATTATTGTGTTCCAGTTGTATTGAATTGTTAATTTCTTTCCTTAAAGAGATCAATCGTCCTGTATATTATGACTAGTTATAATATCTTAATACTAGTTATAATTTCTCGGTTGTATTGATAAGCAGCACGTGAATCATGATAGTATGTGACATTTTTAAATCGTTTAATTTTGGATTTTGGAGTGAAAACTTCATAAAATTCTATTACAAAATTTTTTTTAATTTTTTTGGTTTTATTAATAGAAGTGATATATTCTGTCGGTTTCCGTTTTTTGGTCTTGTTAACTCCTAAAACAGTAACATTTACATTGTTTTAAAATTGTTAACAATTTTTTTTTTTGACTGCAGCATAGCTTGTTACATGTATCCCTACAGCGCTTTGAAAGTCAGATGGAAAATGTAATTTTGATTGTAAGATAAAGATAGGTAGGGCCGATTCTGACTTGTTCGTTGCAATAGGCGATTTCTAAAAAGTGCACTCCCTCTTAAAACAATGAACAACATGCAATAAACATTACAAATTGCGCATAATAATTATTTTCCTGTAACTTAATCATGCTGAATTCAAGATAAGGCACAGACTAAAACCCTTTAATTAAACCTCCAGCTTTTTGTTTTACGATATTTTTATATAGGAGACACGTTATCAAGTTTATTACGCTGCAAATAGAAAGAAAAACATTTTTAGAAAACAAGAAACAGAAAAAATTGGGAAATTGGTTTAAGATTTAGTTTGGTTTTGTTAGTTTTTAATATAGCAGCCCTTCTTCCCGCTGCCTATTGCATATATGGTATAGATTCGATACTGAAGATATAGGAAGGAGAAGTTGCAAATGTTAATAATGCAATTTTATCTTATCCTTATAATTAAATATTTAGATATATGTTCGTTTTTTGTTAGTTACTTCTGAATTGTTAGTTACAAAATTTCAAGTAAGCTACTGTTATTAAGCACACGGTGATAATTTTGCTCGATTCATGTTGATATTAGTTACAGATACAGATTTCTTGTTGGTTTTTTCTATTTTTATTTTATTATTTCTGTTTTTTTAATGAAATTTTTTCAAGATTTTGTTTTAATATTTGAAAAGCTTATAAAATGTTGAACCTACGTAAATATTCAATCAAATATATTATTATAAAATGCGCAGTATTCGCACATCTTTAAAAAAAATCGGTGGGGAGATTTATAGATGGAAAACTTGCAGGAAGCCTGAGGGCAAATAGTCAAAATGATTAAGGGATGTTGGCAAAAAAATTGCAGCTTTATATTTTTTTTTCTAGTCTTAATAGAATGAATAGAATTATTTTATATTTTAAAACAAACAAAAAAAGAAACTTATAAATAAAAATAGAAAAAAAAATTAATTAGTATTAGCAATTTTATCGTCGATTCTTCTTAAGTCATTGAACTGTTAATTTTTTTAAATTAAAATACTTAAAATTATATTTTGTTTGTGTCTTTTGATTTCTTATCATTTTATAGCCATTATGGTCGCCTGACTTTTTTTCTGATTTTTCATTCATAAATTATATGTGTTTGTTTTATTTTTTCTATTTTTTCTTTAAATTATTTTAATTTCCATTGATTACAAAAAATATAAAATAAAAAAATTGTAATTGATTGTAGTCAAAATAAATGGAACTTCGTTATTGCGAATAATATTGTTGCCGTGTATTTAAAATGATGTAGACAGATTCAAAATCAGCTTCGGGTAATTTACCGTTTATGCTGATTATTCAAAATTATAAAATTTTTTAAATTTCTTTTCCTTATTCCGAACTAACGAGAACTTAACAGGTTAAACATTAACAGATAATTGAAATGTAGAAAAGGAAAATATTGCTTGGATTCCTAAACTTAACAGGACAACAGAAATATTTTAAATTAATTAAAAATTTTAAAGAAATAAATCAAAATTAAACATAAAAAGCTAGTTATGTTGAGATTAATTTGTATTTTGTTAATCTGAGGCTTTGCCGGCAGGCCTTCCTATTGATTTAAAGTTGAACGTTACGTGGGTATCCAAGTAACTAATATGCAATTGAAATGTTGTATGTCATTTTAGTAGTGCTCAATGAATTTTTTTACAACTAATCAAGTAAAGCTAATTTAAACTGATTTAGGTTGATTTTAATAATTTGTCAGAATCTATACAAGGAACCACTTTTTGCTTAAAATGAAAATAATAAAAATAATTACCGTTTTACGTAATAAATTTTATTTTTTATTTTAATTCTATTTTCAATTCCCTATGTGCTTATTATTTTTAAATTAATTATACATATATAAAATATAATTTAATGAAGCCGAAAAATTTTTGATAAGAGTTATCTGTATTAAAAGCGTGCTACATAATTTATTAAATACAATAGGTCGGTATAAATAACTAAAGCTTAACTCAAAATTTTTCTTTCGTTTTCATTTTACATTTCAAATAATAATAAAATATGGACATGGCCTTTTGATTTATGTATGCATAATGTATGTGAGATTATACTTTAAGGATAAGGTATGAACTCTCAGAAACAATATTTCAATATCCTTCCAATTTTAAAAATATATGCAGATTGATAAAACAAAAAATAACTGTTTAATTAAAACGATAATGAGTTTTAATGTGTATTACATTATAATTGATGTTGCGGAATATACTGATTCACTAATTCCGGAAGTAGTTATACAAAGCATAATCAAATGTATTTTAAGATATTAAAATTTTGAAAAGAGTTTGGCTTGCACTTTATATAAACATAAACGTATTCAATTTGTGTATTAGAAGAAGTTAAAATGTAAAACAAAAAGCTTATAGACGATCAACCATGCTTATGCATATTATAAAACTTCTATTCATTTCAATAAATCGAAAAGATAATCGAAAAATCATATTCAAAAATCATATTCAATAAAAATTCAATAAATTGAAAAGAAAGAAACGTTGGGTCAAACCAATGGTTTGTATTGTAGCACTTTTCTCTTCAACAAGTGAAAATACTGCTTTGCAAAACAATCGATGTATACCTACCGCACCATTAAAATTATTTTCATTCATATACGAAACTATTTCTAGGATTGCATATATTTAGGATGAACAGTTTATGCAGTTTTTGAAATAAAGTGAAATAAAGCAAAAATTAATTTAAAGAGGGGTTAACATAATGCTCGATTTTAAGGGTTAATTGCGTGAGTTAAGAAAAATAATTATATTTTTTAATGTCATCGAATTTACCGTTACCTTTCTGCGTTTATTGAAATTTGAAAAAGCTTGCGGTTTCGGAAATATAAGGCGTCAAAAATTCAAATTTTACAAATTTCAAGATAACTTGAAATAACCGTTTTACGATAACTTGAGAGGGGGTGGAGATGGGAAAAAGTTTTCTTCTAACGAAATGAACTATTTATTAGTGCCTAAAAGCTACTAAAATTTCAGGCTCCCACATCCTGGGGTCTAGAAGCAAAACAACATCAAAAATTTAAAAAAAAAACGGATTTTATGTAACGGTAAATTTTATGGACATTTTGTTTTTTTTAAAGTTCAAGTATAGTATGCGGTGATATAAAAAGCATCCCACCTGCTTTTTACAGTAAACAGTTGAAAAATGGCATTTTTAGGGTTTTGGGTGGTATAACTTTTAGAGGGGAGGAAATAGGTAAAAATTATGTTCTACGAAAATAAGTTTCTATTAAGGATCTATATACATATAAAATTTCAACTTTCTATCTTCAAAAGTGTAGAAGTTTTGTAAACAGACACAGACAGACCAACGGACGGAAAGACGGACGGACGGACGGACGGACAGAGTGAAATTAATAAGCACTTTTTTTCAAAAATTATTTTAGAAAAGTGCTGAAAATGGTATTCATTTTAAATAATTCTCCAATTACTATTAAATCTTGCATACGTTTAGGAGAAATCTTGAAACAGTAATTTAAAAAATATAGAATTAGAATGCAATAACAGTAAGGGTTAAAGATAATAAGGGTTGGCGACCACTTTATTATTTACGTTAAAAACAGAACAAGAGCGATTTTCCGCAGCGAAATCTCAGAATTCATATAGAATTCACAATTTAGTGAAATAGTCTAAATTCCTATTTTACAGCTGGTGATTTTTTTTTGGCATTATATGCTTCCATGTTTATGTGACACTATATACACTAGTTGATTTCTTCGTTCCGCTCATATCCTGGGTTAAGAACGAAAATTGTCCACTAATGGCATCACATTTGTTCTATTTTTACGGTTAGGTCTCTTGATTTGAAATGTACAGATTTGAACACAATTTAACGCAAGCCAAATTAGACTCTTTTATTACAATTTTCCCCAGTGTATGTAACGTATAAATTTTTCTCAGTATAAATGTAAATGCTCTTCCACGTATAAATGCTAAGGCGTATATTCACGACCATAAATCAAATACAGTATGTATAGTGTCAGTGACAGGAGGGATGACGGTTACTTTCTATGATATTGAAAAGGAATTAATTTTGATCAATAGCAAAATAACTAATGTTTTTTTTTTAAAATGCCTATTGAGAAGAAAATTTTCAAATTTCTTGAAAATTTAGAAAAAATTGAAAAAAATTCATGGGAATAGTTTAATACTTAAAATGAAATTAATTTAAGATTTTAATTCTTAACCGACTCTCAAAATTGATAAGTGTCAAAATCAATTATTAGCTTTTGGGGATTGCCGTCGCTACCGCAAAAACTTTGTCTGTCATAAACAATTGTCAAAATTTAGTTGTATTCAGATTTCAGATATCATATAATTTTTATTTCAATAACATTTTCAATTTTTGTTATTAAAGAGAATAAAAGAAATATCAAAGATTTATGCAAATATTTACTCACTTTTTACACAAAAGATGAGACGTAATTAAAAAAATGTTTCTCAAATGTAAACAAACCGATTTTATCGCTGGACGATATAAATGTTTTTGAACTTGTGAAAAAAAGTTTTAAAAATTATTAAATCTGTAAAATTTATTGAGAAGTTCTTTTATTTATAAATTTGGTGAAATTTCGTTTATTTATATTAAATCACATTATGGCTTCAACAATGCAGCTAGAATTTTCACAAGCTATGTCAGATTTTAAGACCATGTTTCCGGAAATGGATAGAGATGTTATAGAAGCAGTTCTTAGAGCAAATCAAGGAGCTGTAGATGCTACTATTGATCAGTTACTTACTATGAGCACTGATAATCAAGTAAGTAGAATTATATTGTTTAGAAATTAATAAAAATACCTTGCTATGTATTAATTCATTATTGATTGAAACGATGTAATTGTGATTCCGTATTTTTAGAATGAGCGCTTACGAATAGAATTGGAAAATTCTAGTGATAGTCCTCCTTCAGGAAATGATATGCTTATCAATACTGCTGACAATACAATGGGCTCAAATATATCAGAAAATGTAGAGACGCAATTAATTGATACAACTGAGCAACCAAAAACATTGCTATCAACATCACCATTACCTAGTAATCTGGGCACAAATTTAATTAACACTGGTGCTTCTCCAAAAATAAAATGTAATAAATCTTTGACATCACCAACTGGCTCACCAGTAAATTCCGCTCGCGATACTGAAGGTAAGAGAAAATGGAATCCACCACTATTAAGTCCTTTGCCACCATCATTCTTACGTTTGAATACTATTTCGTGTGATGTTCTGAGAAGTGATTTTGATTTACCTGATGAACAATTTGCTATGATGTTGCAAAACGAAGAATTTATGAATGAATTAAGATGGAATCAAGAGTTCATGAGTGCTTTAGAAAAAGAACAGCAGGGTAAATCTGAAGGAGATATGGCATTTAAAGATCGGGTTCGACATATGGGTAAAGTATCTAGAAAAAAATTTTTGCAGGTTGCGAGAGTATTTACCTGGCAACGCAATAAAAAAGCAACTTCCGCAAAACAAATTGATTCATTACCTTTAAAAGAGGAACATAGTGATGATGATGATCATCACATAAATGTAAAAAAGTAAATTTAAGATATAAGGCAAAATACAACAATGTGATTGGAAATTAATATTATTTACTCAATATTATGTTAAATTATTCTATTTAAATTATTAAGAAAGGTAACCAAACAATTCAGTATGGAATTTTATTTTTTTAAATAACATCTAAACTTTTGTTTAATGTTTTAATTAAAATTAAGAAAAGGTATATGTAACATTTATAACAACTTTTTAGAGTATTTATAAATATACATATCTGATTAGCTAAATACGTTTGCTGTTGAAATTTTCTATGTACAAATTCAATTTTCCAGTTTTGTGCAATATATAAAATATTAAAATGAAAGTGCAATATAATGTATGCTTAATAATAGTAATTAAATTAATACTCTAACATTGATTTGAAATATGATCTAGAATCTCCTTGCTTAAATTTCGATTATAGATTATCTTTTGCGAAATATATTTAGATTAATATTTCAGTTATATAGATTAAGGTGCCAAACCATTTTTTATTTTAATTTGAAGTTGAGTTGATAAAAGAAAAGGTTTTTAGTTGCCATTGTTTTTAAAATTCTTTAATAGTGCCAAATTTTTTTTACGCTTTAAACATTTAAATTAATTTGATACAAAAAAATAAAAATTATCATTAAATTAATAATAATTTCATCTCGCGAATTATATTATTTGTCTTGTAAACGTATTTAGATCTTATAAAAATATTTATGAATTTTTAAATTTCAATATAACAAAGTATCTAGATAAAATTATTTAAAGATGTTCATTAATAAAAATAAATAATTTTTTTATATTAATTATAAATTTTATCTTCAAAAATTTTATAACAGTGAAGTAAATGAAAAAAATTAATTTTTTGTTTTTTTTTTCGTTGTAATACTATAACATCTTTTTAAGGTTCTGTTACTTTGAATGTTGCAGATAATATATCTTAAACTATAAATTAATGTAAAACATACTAAGAGCAATTAAAGACCCCTATTTAATTAAACTCAATAAATATTGATATACATATTATATACACATATATATAAAGAAAAAATATAATATGAGTACATATAATTATACATAAGTTTGTATGTATAAATTTTAAAAAAAATTGCAATTAGTTAGATACTTTTTTGACTCCGATTAGACTGGAAAAGTAAGAATCCAAAATAGAAGATTATCTATTATAATATTAAGTAAATAAAAACAATGTTTTTTGACTGATAGTGAATGAATTTTAAACTTTATTTAAAATATTGATTAGATTTCTAAGTAATAACATTGATACAGAAATAATTTTAATGAAATTTTGAAATTAGGTTTTTTTTTTGTTTTTATATTTAAGGTACTTGTTTAAGATCTCAATCTTTACTCTTATTGATAATTATACATGTAAAGTGTGATCATCCGAAAATGTAATCATCAAAATCTACCTTGAAATTAAATAATAGTTCTTGAATTTTGATTTTTTGTTATAAAAAATTTCAAGGTTCATCAATAACTAAACAAGTTTTTGTCTATTATTTATTTTGTTAAATTTTATTAAACAAAGAGTAATTGTTTATAATTTTAGTTTTTTTACAACTTTCAAAATTAAATTGTATTTTTATGTTATTTTGAACATAGGTACATCATTTTTATTTGTATACAATTAATTCAAATTCTTTATTGCTATACATGTATATATGTTAAATGCATATATATATATACTTCGATAACTGAAAAATAGAGGAAAAAAGGAAAGTTAAGGAAATATAGAAAATAAATCTAAGCATCTCGCAAAATTTTCTAAAAAAAGATCTATATAAAAAATATAACAATAATTTTATCCAATGTATGATTATGCAAATTTTTCTCTTTAGAGCAGCCTAAATTTCATTTTATACACTAAGAATTATGCAAATAATAGACTAATTTTATTTGTGAAAATATTAAAACACAAAAAAGTTTTCATTTTCATGTACCTAATCTCAGCACCTTTTCTTTGAAATAATAGCATTAAAATTCTGTAATAGAAAAAAGTGAATATTCTCTAATTATATTAAAAATAAATAGACTTAAAATATTAATAAATGTTTTAAATTCATAATGTATAAAATTTTTTGATTTTTAATGTTAAAATTATTATTCAATAGACGTAAAAACCATAAGATAAAACAAAAAAAAAAAATTTTTAGGTATTTTGGATTAAAATATTTATTGAAAAATCAGCAAGTAAAAAATCACCAAGCCGCATTCAAAAGCTCCGCAACTGCTTTTACAAAATTTTTATGGTTTGCATGTAAAACTATTTCGCTATTCACATCCTGCCATTTGACATTAACAGCATCATCGCCAGCGCAAAGGTCTAATTTACCGGCAAGTACACCGCTTTCATCATGAAAATTATAAGCAACAGTTTCTATCCAAGAATTGTCTGTGTTACGAAAATCATCAACATAGCCTTTGTAAATTTCTTTTCCTTCGGCAAAGAACTCATCTATTAATTTTTTTTGTTCTAAAATATTTTGAAATTTAATTAAAATTATCGTAATTAATAAATTATTTTACCAAGGCTATCCAAAGCTTCCTCTATAAATTCGCGTTTCAGAGTAGTGGTAACCTTTTCACCAGGGTCCACCATGCCACCTGGTATAGCCCACATTTTATTGTCATGACGTTGAATAGCAACCATTTCAAGAATATTTCTATATTGAAAAAAAATATAATATTATTAATATTGATCCGTGAAGATTAAATATTATATTGTTGACTTATTTGATCCAGGTTTTTTCACTTTTGCACCATCTTCTGTTCTTTTCCACCTTGTCACAATCGGGTCAGCAGCATGATTGGGGCCCCATCTTCCTAACAAACCACGACCACGTAATCCAGTTCTACCAATAGGATTGAGCGGACAACCTGAAAATTGATTGTCAAAAATAGAAAAGTAACTACGCATAGAAATTTTGAATTACCAGAATTATCTATTTTGTATTGCCCCATATGAGAAACACGATTAACTTGACCGTCTAAAGTGTTCCATTTAGGATTGAATTCTCCAATTTCGGGATCTGCATAGACTTTTCCATGAATATGCTCTGACGTGTAGGATGGAGGATCATATTTTGTAAAATCGCAAGACCAAAACACAAATTCATCAGGTACAGTAAATCGTTTTATGTCACTTTGTGGATAAATACTATTTCTGCAACTTAAATGTTTAAATACTCCTAATTTAACAATATTGCTGCACATTTTGGAAGTATGTAAGTATCGATCAAATAAGAAACTAAAAATAAATATTATTCTATTATTGAAAATTTGTGTAAACATTTCACCGGTATCCATGCAATCGGTTATTTCCCTTTTTGGCTATAGCGCATAGATTATATTTGATAAAAAATTTTATTTATTTTTTGTAAAATTTTTCAATTCATTGTCAATAGATTGTTTTATTCAATTAGAAATGTGATAGAAGCCTTTTTTTAACATACCTCAATTAAAATTTTGTAAACAAATTAAATCACAGATTAAAAATCCTAGCAAAACAAAAAATTAACACAAAAACAAGAAATGACAGCAGATTGAAAACCGTACAATTTTTAAAGACATTTTATGGTACTCTGGCGGGGAATAGAAGTACCAATTCTACATCAAGTATTTTAAAAGATATTCCAAAATCTCCAGTATAACAAAATATATTCATTTATGATCTAATCGGAATGTCAAAATATACTTAAATTCTTATTGTAACTGCATAACAAATAGTATTTCATTTATATGGAAAGTTTTAGTAAAATTGTGTTTTTATTTGCTTATATCAGTGAAGGGAAGTATGTTGTAGTTAATTTTTGAAATTGAAACTGCAAAAAAAATTCACCGTTCAAGAGATCATTTTGGAAAATTTTATTTAGAAGTCAGTTATAGAATCTTTGTAGCATAATTTATTCAAAGAAAGCAACCTAGTATGATGAGTCAATGACGATTCAATATCAATGAAATTATATTATTATAATTGTAAATTTTAATAAGGGGACCGGAAAATAATCAATTATTAATTAAATTTTTTAAACTTTAACTTTTTTTAATATTTTAACATTATTTTTTTAATGCGGTACACAAAAGAGAAAAGCGTGCATTCAATCATCAACTTTGTTGTAGTCTAACGAAGAGAACACGTAAGGTATGGATTTTTACTAAAATAGTAAATTATTATGTATTGTATTTTTTGGGTAAGAATTACTCTGGAAACTTGAAAATAGATGTCTCTGAATGAATGACAACAATTTCAATTTTTCTATTTCATTTCCTGTGAAACTTGAAAGTGGTCATGTTCATACCTAACTTAAAAACTTTTTGACGGTTTTCATAAATATATTATTTTTTTTACAATAAGATAAAAAGTATAGTTTTTATATTTAATTGTCTTATGAACTTGTAATTTAAAATTGACATTTAATTAAATATATTTAAGTTAGCCTTTCAATCTAAGAATTATTGTGATTACTGGTTTGATTACAAAGCTACAAATGCAAATCATTTTATAATATGTGATACGCTATAGTTATATGTTTGAGTTTAATTTTCTTTATGGTTAACGGTTCTTTTAATCACAAATTATTGTATTCATATGTAAATGCTGCATAATATTTATTCTATTTTATACGAATACGAATAAATTTATGCTACGGCACTGAAATATTAAAGGATGACATGGATTACAGTGTTCTTCTTTTTATTAATTTTGATAAACAGCGTTCAAAATAAATTTGAGGAGAAAAGGAATGTCCTCATGAGTATGAAAACTAATGAATAAGTGTGTACTTCAAAATGCAAATGAAAATAATTGTTTTCATTTCAGTTATAATGGATGACTTTCGTCCAGCAATATTTGCATATGGTGATAGGCTAGCTAAAACACCCAATATCGATAAATTTGTGGAAAAAAGTTTTTATTTTACTAGAGCCTATGCCCAGGTAAGTCAATTTATTATTAAATGTGCAGTATATGTAGACATAAATGTTTGCTTTACTATCTAAGGTGTTAAATGCACGTACAAACAAAATTTTTTCTACCTACTAGAGTAAACACCAGTAGTAATGAAATAGAATAAAATAGAAATTCATAATTGACTTTAAAATCTGTAAAAGAATTGCTGAATTTTTCAAAAAGTTGATTTTTTTAAAATAAATTTTATCACTGCTTCTTTAATATTTTGCCAAATTTTAAGTATTCCATTAATACCTAATATAGCTAAACACCTCATCTACTTATGTACATAAGAGTAAAAAGCATAATTACTAGTGCCATTCATTTTTTTAGCAAGCTTTATGTGCTCCAAGTCGAAATTCTATGCTAACAGGTCGCAGACCAGATACAATCCATCTTTATGATTTTTATAACTATTGGAGAACATTTGTTGGTAATTTTACAACCTTACCTCAATATTTCAAAGAAAATGGATATCTTACACATTCTGTTGGTAAAGTATTTCATCCTGGTATATCTTCAAATTTTACAGACGATTACCCATTAAGTTGGTCGAATAAACCTTTTCATCCGAAAACAGAAAGCTTTATGAATTCTGCGGTTTGTCCAGATGGCTCTGGTGTGAAAAAAAAGAATTTAATATGTCCTATAAGAGTACATTCTCAGCCACTTCAAACACTTCCGGATATAGAATCTGCAAATGAAGCATGCCGGTTTTTAAAAAACAATAAAAAACAAGCAAAACCTTTCTTTTTAGCGGTTGGTTTTCATAAACCTCATATCCCATTTCGTTTTCCAAAAAAATTTTTAGGAAATTTTTCTGAAACTGATTTTGATTGGAAAATAAGTCCGTATAAACCATTGGATATGCCTGATATTGCGTGGAATCCTTTTACGGATATTAGAATGAGAGATGATTTTGCAAATTTGAGTATACCATTGTTTGGACCTATACCAAAAGAAAAGGCTATAAAAATACGTGAATCATATTATGCTGCAGTGTCATATGTTGATGATTTATTTGGAAAAATTTTAACCGAAGTTAATTTAGAAAATACAATAGTGCTATTAACTAGTGATCATGGTTGGTCATTAGGAGAACATGGTGAATGGGCAAAATATAGTAATTTTGAAATATCATTGCGAGTACCATTTATACTATATAGTCCAGAATTTCAACTTAAAAAAAGAAAACCAATAAAACATATTATAGAACTAATAGACGTTTTCCCAACTTTAATTGATTTAGCAAATCTTTCAAAATTACCAAAATGTAAGACCAACAAAAAATATTTAAAAGCCTGTGTTGAAGGGAAGAGTTTATATAAAATTTTAAAAAATAATTCAAAAGGAACATTACCGAATATAGCATTGAGCCAATATCCTCGACCAAATATTCATCCTAAATTAAAATCAAATACAGATAAACCTAGATTAAACCAAATTAAGGTAATGGGTTATTCAATTAGAACAAATAATTTTCGATATACTATGTGGATAAAATTTACTCCAAAAAATTTTACACGTCGTAAGTATTTAAGTATTTACTTTTATTTCTTTAGATAGTTAATAAATAAATGCATAACATATTTCAGATTGGAACAAAATTTATGCCAGAGAACTTTATGATCATAGATTTGATGATGAAGAAGCAATAAATTTAGTTAATTCGTCTTTTTACAAGCAAACCCTTACCAGATTGGAAAATAAATTAATAACATGTTTTTCAAAGTGACTCTACATATTTTGAAAATGTAAGTTAAATATTATTTTATATTATAAAAATTATTTAATTTTAAAACAATTTGATGTGAAAACCCCTGCAATAGATATTTTTTTTTACATAATACTTAAGTGACCGAATCGTTACAAAAAAAAAATTCCATTCATACTATTTGAATTAAAATTATAAATTTAATTTAATGAACAACGTTAGTTAAATTACAACGAATGTAAGCATCCAAGAGCAAAAACCAATCTAGCCTTTTCGGAAAGGATCTATTATTGTCTACCATAACTAATTTTCAATACATTGTATAACATTTAATTTAACTCATATTTTTTTTTATAATTATTAAATATAAAGAAATAAACTTTATTCCACTAATTAAGAGAATAATGTTTCAATCTTTAAACAAAAATTTTTGACTCTTTTTTGGAATATTTGATTTTATGAAAATCTTAAAATTTTAATTTACTTTTTCTTAAATAGACGTACAAACATATGAGTACATTTGCGCAATGAAAAACTTTTTTTTTTTTAATTTTCACTCGCAGGAAAACCAGAATTGTGAAAAATTAAAGAAAAACAAAAACAATTAATATGCGCAAAATTTATGATTCCTTTCCTGTTGTATGCGTGTGCGGATGTTTATTTTTAAATATTTTTAATGAATGAAATAATAAAAGGAAAAAAAAAACTGAGAAAAATATTAACTGTCCCCATCGCTTTTTCCTAACAAATAAATATTTTTAGATTTTATATGTATATAATATGTTTGTATGGGTGTACACATGTTACTTTTGGATATCTTAGGTATATTATGTATGCATATATAAAAACTGATACATATTATATTTGAATAGAATTAATTATAGTATTGATGATTTTTTATATTTTGTTTGTAATATTGCAAATGTTTGTAACTCATTTAAAATACTAGTTTTAATTATGTTTTTAATGATCAGTTAATATCTCAGTGTTAGTCAAATTCAGTTTACTGTTGTTCGAAATAAAATACAATGTAGCTTTAAATTTGAAATTGTCATTGCCCATAACTTTACATTTGTTTTAAATATTGCCTCTAGAGATTTCATACTCAATGTGTGTTATGATTAGAGTAATAAAATATATGTAAGATTACTTTATTTAAATATTCCAATGAACTTCTAATTAAAAATATGGCCAGAATGTAAAAATAAATCTACAATAAAATTACCGAATTTTTAAGCGTAACGAAATACAAGTCAGTTTCAAAATTTTTAAATTTTCTATATCTTATAGTACATTCTATATCTTATAGTATTTTTCTATATATTATAGTATTTCTTTCAACAAAAAAAAAAAAATTGAACAACGATCTCTCTCAGCACTTTTCTTTTAAAGTTCTAGGGTTTTTTATTTGAATTAAAACAAAAAAACCTTCGGAGCATTGGTTTTTTTTTGGATCGCATTTTAGTAGTCTGGATTTCAGTTCTTTCTTTAAGTTTTAAGTTAAGATTTTCGTTCTGAGCCTCTTTAGGAAATATTCGCAAATCGCCAATATTAAATGCAATAATTTTTTGGTATATTTAAATGAATCTCTTTAAATGCAATTTATTTGAAAATATATTTAAAAAATTTTTAAAGAGTATTTCAATAGTAGCTTTTCGAAATTAAATGTTTGTGTACAAAATTGTTGTATTTTGTAAATTTTTATTTTATTTGAAGCATTTTAATAAATTTTCCTTGACTTTCAGTTTTTGTTGGATATTTTCATTTTAATGCATCCTAAGAAATGTCCTAAATATGTATAGCTAAGATGATTTTCAAAAATTACTTTAATTATATAATGTAGTATTTTTATATATGCATTTTTGTGCATTTATAAATGTAACATTTATTGAACATTATACCAGAACTCCGATCTTCTGATGCATTGACATAATTATATATATATGTTTAACTTTGTTCTTTTGTCGCGAATTCGACAATTAGTGTGGGCTTAAAGTTTTTAATACAAATTTTCTTGAATTGATCTTTCCAGTTTGTTTTGTTGCTTCGAAAGGCGATTATAGCTCAAATTACTTAAAATTAGGTTTTTAACTATTAAAAAAAGTATTTATGATAAAATAAAAATCAATTTTTCATTATCTAATATCAATTATTTTTAAACAATATTACCATGTTGTTAAATTTATATTTAGTTATATTTAAATAAAGAAATTTAAAATAAAAATAGCATTGTTAAATCATATTTTCTGTTATATTCCGTTGTTGTGTATGTGCAAATGCACACAAATGTGGCGAATTTGAAGTTTGATGTAATTTTGAAAAAGAAAAGTTCTGAAACTAAGGGTACATACAATTTAAAAAGTTATGATTATTTTCATTTAAATTAATGTTAAATGGCAAATTTTTTTATTTAATATTTCTTAAAATGTTAAGCATCTTACTTGATTTAAGTTATGCTACTATACTGTATAAAAAAACTGGAGAAAAATATAAAGGGCTCTCATATTAAAAAAAAAAAAAATAAATAAAATTTAATTTTACTTTTTCTTTTTTAAAATGGCTTTTTATTATTATTTTTTTTTTAAACCTAAATCTGAAATCACTCTAAAAAATATGAGGAAAAAAACCTTGTAATTTTTTTTTTTGCTTTTCTCTTATTTGTTTTGTATATATAGAATAAGAAAATCTCTAACTTCGACAACGTAATATTTCATACATATATTAATGTAGGAACGTATGAAAGTATATACATATTTATAAATGTTGTTTTAGATACATACAGTTTGTAAAATATACATTCGTATAAATACATATGTATGTATATAAACTGCGCGATATACATCGACTGTAAGCGCGTGCGGTGTTTTTCTTTGCGTAGTACGGTAGCTCAGTTTCAGTAATCCAAGAAAAGAAGCACATATTATAATCCAAGACTTATTTTTTGTTTTTTTTTTTTTTTTTGCCATTTCATAGAGATAAATATGTATGTATATAAGTATATACATATGTAGATATTATTATGATGATAAAAATGAAATAAAAGAGTGAATATGTGATATTGTAATAAATGTTTAAAATTTTATATATAAAAATAATATATGAATATGTATGTAATATTATAATGTAAGTATGTAAATAGAAGTAAAAGAGACAAGCAAGAGCTACCACAAATATGAGTAAAAAAAAATGCAATGTGAGTTCGTTGAGTTCGTTATTTTAATTTTTTTTTTCTGCTTTTTTTTTCTATATATTCACAGCATAAGTTAAAAAAATATAAAGGTAAGGAACGGAGCTCTAAGTTTGGTTTCACCTTTTTTTTTTATTGTCTTTTTTATATTCAATTTTGATTTGATTGTGTTGTAATAGACTAATAAAATTTTTTTCGAATGGAAAAATTTCGAAACACAAAAGGGAAATGAAATTTGTTTCAAATACAAAATAATTTACAAATTTAGAATTTCCATTGTTTATGAGAAAGTCTTTTTGTAGCATAATTTATTGCTACGCACGAAAAATGCGCAAGTGTGTATTTAAGAATTTAAGTGTCAATTCTGTCCAACTTATTTTTTTCTTTAAAATTTCGATATTATTTATTTCGAATTTAAGTAGCATTTTCATTATTAATTCGTTTTATTAAGAGTTGACCATATTTTATTTACTTAAAAACTAAATGGGGTTTTCTTTTATAAAAAAAGATTCGAAAAAATTATTTCGAATAAATATTTAATTTTATTTTTTTAAAAAATTGCCTTGTGTATGCATTAGTATAGTTAATTAAGTAACTTTTGTATAATAAAAATTAATGTGTATATAGTTATTCTCTTTATCTTTGCTCTATAAGAAATGAAAATAGTTTTTTAGAAATTTCTAATTTAAAATTATTTAATTTTATTATTTTAAGAAATAAATTAGTTTAAAAATGTAGTTATTGCACTTAAGATTTGAAATTAAATCTTAAAATCAATTCCAAACCTCCAGACCGATAATTTATTAATTTTGATTTCAACTCAATTCAAGTGAAGCTTTTATTATAATGAACAAAAAAAACTATATTCCGTTAAATTGCTTCAAAATCTTTATGGTGATAATTTAATCAATATAAATTTAATACTAAAATTAAATTTTAATTATTTTCTATCAATAAAGAAGAAAAACAATTTAAAATTGAACATTATTTTTGAATAAAGTAAGTCTACATATTAATTTTTCAATTCATTCAACCAAATACCAGCACAAAATTATTATCTTGCATTACAAAATTTAATAATAAATGTAAAAAAAAAAAAAGAAAAACGCCTCAAACCACCACCTTCGCTTATTTGAAAAGCTAATTAGCATAAAACGAGGGCGATTCAATATATTATTATATTGGATGGCATTATAGATCTACATTAAGTTATACTAAATTTTTGTAACATTGAATATACGGCTACGTACACACATATACTATACATAATGTCATATATGTGTGAAGTTTATGTAATGACATCGTGCATGCATTTTAACGTTTCATTTTTATAGGTAAAAGCAGGTATTTTTATTATAAAAAATAATTGAAAGCATGCGTGTATGTATGTACCTAATATGAACATGTTTCGGCTCAAAAATTTTTCAAGTAAATAATTTTTGAAATTCGAAAAAAAAACAACTCCTCCGCAATTCAAAGTATTTACGTACAATACTTAATAGTACTTAAACAACATTGCAAGTCAAATTAATTTTAGTGTTTTTTTTTATATAGGCATGCAAAATCTTAATTTTTTATTTTAATTTATTTTATTTTTTGTATTTTTGCCAGTTAATATAAAATTTTTTGCTAACTAAAAAACCAAAACAGAAAATTTAATAAATTTTATTTTTGTTTCAATAAATTTTTAAAATTCATTCTTTCGTAGGATAAAATCAATGGTATTGACTTGATAAAATGAAATTATCTGGAAACTGTGAAGAAAAATAACTATATTAGCAATCTCTTGATATATGAAATCTTTTCACAATTTTATTTCAATTTTCTAAACAAAAATTTATAACAGCTTTGTTTTGTTTTAAATTTTTGCATTAGTTTTATGGGCTATAGCGTTTTTAAAGCAAAATTAAAATAGTGAAAAATATTCTCAAAAAACCTATAGAAAAGACTCTTTTCTTATTCTTTTATCAACTCTATGAAATTAATTCTGAACTAAAAAAATTGAGAAGCTTAATAATTGATAATAAAAGGAAAACTTTCAAATTTTTTTATTTTTAACTTATTTGAGACAAATGGGCTCTTTATTTTACATGCTTTGTACCTTATTCACAGGGGTTTATTCTAAGTATCGAATGACTAAGTGATATGAATGAATAATCATAATAATAAGATTTATTATAGACACGAACCATTTGTATAAATTGGTTTTTGTTTACAATATTAGTATTGAACTTTTCACGACATATATAACGTATCACTTAGTACCGAATTAACTCGGAATAAGTCCTATTATATTTGAATTGTATGCAGCACATAGTATACGTTAATTAAATTTAACAAAATACAAATGGCCGAATGTGGCATATTTTAATTCGGTCATAATCGGGCGATGTTTTAAAAGCATTATATTATTTTTTAAATAAAATATAAAAAGATTTTCAATACATAATCTAGCAAAAGAAAAAAGTTTAATTCAATAAAAAATATATTTTATAAATTCTAAATTAAATAAAAATGTAGGAATGTAGGTTGATTAAAATTTTACTTCAAATTATTGTCTACAGTGTTACGTACATTGAAAATAAAATGATTGTACCTGAACGTAAATAAAATATTTATTCTTTTAATGTGAATAAAATTATGAATTTTAATTGTTTTTACGAATTTTTAATATACAATTGAATTTTAATACATAAAATATTCAAAATATTTTTGTTTTTTTAAACAAATTCTTAAATCCATAATTATTGTAAAATATGCTTATTTCATATACAATGTTTTTAATTTATTTTAGGTACAACTATATTTTTTTTGTTATTAATTTTTTTCTATAAAGCACTTAATGTAGTTCTTTTCGAACAATTCGAAAAGTTGTTTGTTGATTCGAACAAACCCTTCAAATTGTATATACATATGCGCTAATATTTGAGAATTATTAATTAATCATGAGCTTGGTAGAAAATTTCAAATTTTAAATCAATCAATTGATTACTGAGGTATGGTATTCGACACTCCTATAATAATTTCTTTCTCCGGTACACGAAATCTTTTTTTATTGGTCATTCGGCAAATATAGGAAAAAGTGACTATAAATTTCAAATAGGTTATAAAATTTTTAACAATTATAACTATCAATAATAGTAGATTCATTATTTTAAGGTATATGTATATAAAATTGAGTGAAATATTTAAAAAAAGGTTATATAATGTATTTATTTAAAATAGTTATAAATTACAAATATTATTCATATGGTAAACATAATATTTACGTATTAATTCCTTTATATTATATTCTGAATGCATTTTATTTTTATTAATATAAATAACTATAAAAAGAAACCAGTTTTCTATACTCAAAATTTATGATTCTAACTATAATTACCATAATATAGACTAGTAATTATATGTAAATATACTTGAGTCTTGGAGGATTTGGATGTAAGATCAATGCATAAGGTACTATTTAACGCAGGAATATTGTATTTATTTTTTATTCTTATTTTTTTAATGTATGTGTATTGCTTTTATATAGCTTGTATCTTTCTAATATCGGGAAGCCAAATATACCTGTCTGACTGGTCCATTTACGATTAATTTAATATATTATTTTTGTTTTTTCTTATATTTTCTTTACATTTTAATTTTATCGTCTTCTTTTCAATTTTTGGTTTATTTAATTTTCTTGTTCTTTTTTTACTATATTATAATATTAAAAATATTATTTAATAAAAAAGAATTCTTTTACGTTAACTTCTCGTTTTTACATTGCGTTTTGAAGTCATTAACATTTAAACATTTTATTCATTATTCTCTCTTATTCCAAGTAGAAAAATAATTATGAAAACAAGTGTTACCTTTTTTTCATTGTTTTTAAGTTGGTGTTATTTTAATTTTATCTGTTGTGATATTCAAACTGTAATCAATTTGTTATAAAATTTACAAAACCAGAGTTAAATAAGCTCTTACTTCCAAAATGCAAAATCGAAGTGCAACTGCAACGTATTATTGATCCAAAATCTTGTAAAAGAAAATGCTTCAATGCAGCTTCTTCCAAAATTCGTAAAAAAGTTTGCCACTTTTTGTAAACAAGTCAAAAAAATGTTAACGAATTTAATTTTTGGCATTTGTGTTTAATGGTAACATGAAATATGACATTGGTAACAACGTCATGTTTCATATATATTGCTATCTTTTTTTACTGCGGCAGTTGTTTCCAAAATGAAGAAAAACTGCTTTGCATTATGTTGTTTACAATTTTAGATCATAGATGCACTTACGTACTTAGTTTAATTTAGTGGATATCAAAAGAGTCGGGAATTTAGGTTATTTTTTAGAATATTAGAGAAGTAATCAGATTTATATAAATGTAATAATATGACATTCTTTTGAACTCGATTGTCTTAAATCCATTTAGGAAAAAACTGTACTGTTTCAATAAAGAAAAAGTTTAAAGGCAAAAATTTCAAACACTTCAGAAAGGTCTTAAGGAAAATATTGAAATTTTTAGTGTCAATTAATAAACCATCCTATGGATTGCTGGGAGCATAAAATTTTTTATTATTATTATTATTTTTATTTCTTGTTATTTTTAGTGATCTGATGTCGAGTACTCTTTATGGTCAAAGGAAGTCTTAAAATTTAATATCATTTTAGATTTAATTTTTGTTTTTTTTTATTTAGGGTTTTTTTTTTTATTTCGTTAGTTGTCTCTTATTTTTAGGGAAGGTCCAGCTTTTATAATCTTAATAAATGTATACTCGTATATATATATAGATATGTATATATTTATGTATAAAAGATACGACAAAAAAATAAAAAAAAGAAAGTAATAATAATTTAATATCATTGGATTTCAATTCCATTGACTAAAAAACTAAACAAGAAAAGAAAAGAAAGACAAAAAAAAGTCAAAAAATTCAGAAAAAATTTAAAAAGAAAATACTAACAAGAAGAGTAAAAGAAGTAGAAGAAGGATGAGAAGAGGCTGTGGTGGTGCGGGGATGTGGGTTTTAAAAAAGAAACTTTCAGATTTTAACCTTATGGATTTAATTGAACAAATACACTCACATACTTACAAACATAAGTACGAACATAAATTTATTTTGATATTTTTTGGTGCAGGTCTTTTGATCGATCTTAAATGACTGAATGATTATGTTGGTAGTTTATTATGTAAGTATGTACGCATATATGATTCTTGAATGCAATAAATTTTGGAGCGTGTTTTCAAATTTTTTTTTTCATTTTTGTTTTACAATTTTTTTATTCCTTGTTGCCTTTTTTTTATATATGTATGTATAGCGTGTATATTGATATAATTTTTATATTTTTCTTTTGAATTAAATTTGATCTTCATTCAGCCAAGAATAATATATAAGGCTATTCACTAATATTTTAAGATTTTATATTTTATTTCAATTCTTGGTAACTTTATCATCATCTGATTATTGAATTTGGACAAAACAACAAAAAACAAAGCTGGATTTTTATAGGTTTTAAGTTTTTTAAAAGTTAACATAAGAGTTTTTTAAGAGTTTGTACATAATGTATTTTTCCTTATATGTTACCATATGTATGTTATACTCGTACAATAATATAAAAATGAAAGTAAATATGTAGCTCAATATAATTTAAATTTTTCACCCATAAATAACATTAATGATACAAGTCTTAGAAAAAAAAAAATTATAAATTTTTATTTGAATCAAAATTTTAAATTTATTTATTTTCTTTTTAGACGGTTGTTTCATAGACAACGAAGTATATAGTCTTATTTGACACCATATTACGACATCGAGAACACAATATTTAAGTTTTCGTACTATAAAAGAATATTATCAATTGTACGCAACATTGTTATCATATATCACGAGAAAAAAATCAGATGGGAGATTATATTATATAGAAAGTTCCAGAATCAATGGTGAGGCATTAAAATTGAAAATATCTACAAAGTTTTATTTTTTCATTTATTTTCTAATTGAAAAACATATTACAATTTTTGTGTTGAACATGATAATTCAATAGCTGGTGTAATCTAATTTTAATTGTTTTATAAAATTATAGTTAATAAAATTGTTAATTATTTAATTTTTTTAATTTTGTTGATAAGTTTCTATTAACATCAAATTTAAGCATTTATTGCTTTGTCAGTAGAAAACATAATTAATTTCACTTGAATATATAATTGCAAAATGTTTATTACATTTATTCATGCTTTCTCCGAAGTTTACATTTCGAACTAAGAAATTTTTGTTCCTTAGGTAGAAAGCTGAAATTTAAAATGTACATAGATAGAAAGCTCAAATTTAATATGTACATAGATCTTTACTAGAAACTTATTTCCATAAAAGAAAACCTATCCCCCCCCCCCCCCCCCCCCGTTAAAATTTACCGTTATCTTAAATCCAAATTTTTGTTATCGTTTTTCTTTTAGACCTCAGGTTGTAGGAGTTTGAAATTTTTGCAATTCTTAGATACTAATAAATAGTTCATTTGATTAGAAGAAAATTTTTTTCTGCCTTCAACCCTTCTCAAGTTATCGCTTCTCGAAATTTGTAAATTTTGAATTTTTGAATTCACCTTAAATTTCCGAAACCGTAAGCCTTTTTAGACTTCTATAAACACAGGAAGCTAACTCATGCAATTCACCCTTAAAATCGAGTATTATGTAAACACCTCTTTAAATTTTTTCTTGCAACAATTCGTAAAAGTATCTTTTTTTTAGAACTTTCTTATGAATTCAAATAAAATAAATTCGCCACTACAATAGCCCCAAAGTTTGAAATTTTATTTAAAATCATAATATCATTCTTAATCTTTTTCTATATAATTATGTATTTTTTTTATTGTTTTCGATTTTGGAATATTATTATATATCGAATTAGCATTTGATGAGGAATCAATAATTTTTGTATAGGTATTTTAACAAAAAATCTAAACAAATAATTAAATATTTAAGAAAATATGTAGTAAAACTTGTGTAAAACAATACTTGCATATTTGTAGAAAACTAAGAATTTTATATTATTTATATATACTATATAGAGTGAGAGAGAAGTTTGAAACCCAATTGTGGAAACGATTCACCGGATATACTTCCTTTTGCCACAATTACAAATATATGCATATAATACAGAATAATCTTGTGTATGTGTGTACATAAATGAATATACAAAAGAAAAAAAACGAGAGACAAAACAGCAAGCAAAAATGAAATCATTTCATAGAACCACTATTGACATCCGCTTTTTGGTTAAAAAAAAAAATATTATTTGTTTTTGTTTCTCCACTGTTTTATTCCATACATGAATATTTTTCCAATATTATCGTTTTTACTATAAATACGAATAATATACTGGTAAGCAATAAAAATTGCCTACCAGAGAAGCCTATACAACATCAAATACATTTTATATACGAATATTCGTTTCATAGATTCGTATAGATAAACGAGATATTCAAATCCGTCCTCTTAAATAATAACAAGAAAAGATCTTTATTTTAGAAATGCATTCATATTTTAAGAATAATTAACTACTTTTAATTTTTAATACTGTTATTGTAAGAATATATTGCTTCGAAATAGATTCGTATAGATCTTACAACATTTTTATTGTATCTAAATATTCTTAATTCTAAAGAAAAAATTATAATACAAGTAATAAAAATTTCTAAAATTTTTTAAAAGCAAATTCATGACATATACAAAATAAAAAGGAATTAAAATATTCCCATTCTCTTCTGTTGTTTGAAATTTCGGCATAATTAATATTTCCTCTAAAAAAAAAACATGATATTTTTGAATAGCATAGAGAATGATGATCGTACAAATAAAATATAAAGACCAGAAAGATATTAAAATTAAATTTAAAAAGTATAAAAAATTTTAATAATTTCGAAAATCTCTTACTAAGCATATGTACATACTATATAGTAATTATTGTTTTTGTGTTTCTTTGGAAAATTTATTTACTCATTTAATTTAATTCTTGAAATTTAGATTTATTTTGAGCATATTTTATGAATAATGTTGTAAAAATGTGTGTTCATCCTATAATAAGCAGTCTGTTCGTTTTCTATCTATCTTTTTATGGTTTTAAAGTTTATCATGTCCGATATCATTTATGTAAGTAAAATACAATTGATAGAGCAATTTACAAAAAATTTCAAAATTGATCTGTAAAGGAATTGAATAGTGCCCTGTTTTCGTAAATTCAAAATGTGCACAAAATTTATCAATGAATTTGCAAAATATATGAGTAAATGTGCTGTATTCTGAAATTGTCACTTGACGACAACTTCAAAATCAGTTCATAAAATTTTAAGGAAGTAAAATTTTATCAGTAATTTTATTAAAAGTAATTTATATAACTTACGTTATTATTGTAATTCAAGCTAAAGATGTAAACTCAAAATTTAGCATTCACAATTTTAACAAAGTTTAAGCGTATTTTACATTTTCATATCTCATTTGATAGCTATAGTTGACAGCCATAGAAGCTGCATTCTAAAAGAAAATTTGTGCACATTTTAAATTTACGAAAACGGGGGTAAAAAATTTAATTTTTAAAAAAAAATCAAAAATTTTATTACATTTACGTGTCATAGAATTTTGCCACAAAGCTTTATACCTGCAACCGAATTCGATATACCGCTTTTTGTCGGTCCTTTACAATAGGCATTGTTAATTCAGTCTATTTGTTGAAGTAAAAATATACAATTATTAGAAATAAACAATCTAACCAAAAACGCTGTTTAATTAGTTCTTAGTTTAAAAATTCCAACCTGTTTAAGACTGAAATAACAACAGTAAAAAATTCATGCAATATTTGTTTTTTGCTACAATGTAACAAAAGAAATAAATCAAAGTCAAATTCATATTGAAAAATTTCTGTCTGCATTTTAATTTTGTTTGGTTTTGCTTATTTTCAAATATAAGTTCACAATTATGGTGAATTGAATTAATTGTCATAAAAAAATTAAAAATTACCTTTAAATTTGCTTCTTTTTTTCTTTTGTTCCTTTATATATCCATCACTGAATTCCTTTGAAATAAGGATTATTATATTTTGATTTGAAATATAAAAGTAACCCTGCTTTTACAAATAATTTTATTTTATTTTTTTTATAATTAATCATATTATATGCAACATGAAAGAACGGATGTTGAAAAGAAACGACGGAAGACTTAAAAAACCGATATCGTCACAATATATGAAATTTTTCATTAAGACTATTGGAATTTGCATATTTCCTAAGAATTTAAAGAGGAAAAAAAAACAAAAAGCAAAAAATTTGTAACGTATAAAACATATTGTATATGTATAACATATTTTGGTGTACCCAAAGAAAGTAAAATCATATTAGAAAAGTAAGGATTTTGATTTGTTAAAAATGTATTCCCTATAAGTTTCAGTTGAAATTATTGGATATTATTTAAAATTCATTGCAATTTCCAGTATACAATCTCAAATTTTGAAATCGATTTCGTTCTTGAAACTATAAAACTTAATTTTAATAAAATTTTCCATCAGTTATAGAGCGCAGGTAGACTGCGAAAGTATGTGTAGACATTTTGATCTATTTCAAGAGTTAGTTATGAATGAATTGACAAAATATATTTACTCTTTTACAATGGCTATTGAGTACACATATAAAATTATTGGAAGATGGATTGTAATTACTTAAGCAGTACAAGTTTTATACAAGTGCTGTATAAAATAATTAGGAAAATATAAATTTGATTTTTAAAAAATCATAATCAAAGCCTATACCTTTGTATATCAAAATAATTATGTAAATTTAAAACTTATTTAAGAATTTCCATAACCTATATTTGAGAAACAAAATTAAAAATGGGGAAAACTTTTTCATAATTGTTTAATACATACATGGTTCCCACGATCTCTAATTTATTTTACATAAGTTTAACAAAATAACATCAAAATAAGAAAAAAATAAAATAAAAAATTAAATACCACACTTTGAAACATATGTACAATCACCATAATATATTCACCATCATAATAATTTCATTATGGTATACAAAAATATACCAAAAAAAGAAAATAAGAGGAACAAAATTACAGAAAAAGGAAAAAAAAAAACCATAATATTTACTAACAATAATAACAACAACAAATTTTCTCTGTTTATTCCTTTAAGTGTTGTAACATAACCTCATTCAATACGGATGCACATATTTTTTGTATGTACATCCGTAAATTTGGTTTTAAAATTATTCGATTATTCCTTATACAAAATTAAATTTTAATTTTTTTTTCAGCGTATATGAAAAATTTTTCTCCATTTATAATGCTAGTAAAAAATAATATTCAAGAATAGTTTCACATTACAACTAAATTTTGCTTTATTAAATTTTCCCAATATATTCGTAATTCTTAATATAAGGTCTTCTCGATATAGAAGTTTCCAACATTTTAATACCGTTTCCTCATTTTAAGTTAATTGAATCTCGCTAAAAATAATTTTTCTTTTGGCAAATAAACCGACATTATAAAAAACTATTTTTTCCGATATAAAAATTACATATAGATTTGCTTCGCTTAAAGCCATTAATTTTCGGTAACAAAAACTAGCTTAAGAGAAAGATTACTAGTATTGCAACATTTTGGACGCAAGATGAACTAATATATTGACTAATTGTGAATGTCAACTATTTAAGGTGTTTGTATTTTATAAATCAAACCCGTTATAAATATTTTATGGTTTTAAAAGAATTTTAAGAAATTTATATTAATTGACACTTGAATCAGGAACAGTGAGATTATTTGGCAAGATTTTACTTTTTGATAATATAAAAAACAGCAATTACTCATATAAACGGATTATCAATTGCATTTTACGGACACGTACAGGTTTTGAAAAACATGGATTATCTTTGTTTCAAAATTTTGTTGACAATTATATTTTT